GCCAAACCGAGAACCTCAAGCTTAAAACTTAGAACAATTCAAAAAGGAAATATATAACATTTCGTATACGAACCAGGGATGCATTTTTTTTAAAAAATATTATTGGTTTAGGTTCATGGAACAATCATACATATACATTCCCAAATATTATCCTTTTTTGGACATAATATCTAAATGCATTGTGCTACGTACTATATCTGGTACTATCAGGCTTTATTGCTAATGGGGCTTAATATAAACGATCGAAGATCTACGTACGTTCGTACCCGTATATTTCTGAAATTTTTCAACTTCTAATTTTCTGATTTCATTATTTAATGAATTCCCAACTCATTCAAAATGGCATATTGTCCAAAAATTGAATAGTCACGTTTCTCGGTGAAATGGTTGGATGCAATCAGCAAGTAGGTCTGTATCACACATGCAGGATACTATTACAGTTACACCCTGACCGTCAATGAATATCAATATCCATAAATACTCCCAGATCTTGCATGTTGGCAACAATCCTCTTTTTTTTTCTTGATAATTTTATGAGGATTTGATTAATCTCTTGGATAATTTAATGTACATCATATTATATATTTAATAATATTAATAGTTTTAAGCTTCTGTGTCAATGTCGACCGAAGATAAACAAGATGATCATAATGCGCAAATAAATATTACTTCTGCTCCAAATTCATCTGGATTGTTAAGTGAGAGTACTGAACACCCTGGTCTTGAATATGTTACAACTGATGCTATTGAAAAGAATATTCTTGGAGACAATCCTTTTGTCTCTGAGAGTGAAAAAAATGCGATTAGATTTCTTTCACATCCGATCACTTGGATCATAAATACCCTTGGCATAGTAAAAATGAATCCAGTGCACCTTTTGTTATTGTTTATTATCCCTGCCGCGATAATGCATAAGTTCTATCTTTGCTTTTTTGCGATCATACCGTTATCTAACATAATGACAATAGCCATTGAAGATTTAACCGCCAGAGGTCAAACGGTATGCAATTTTTAAATGATTTTATATTATTATTAATTTTTCGAATGAGTAATTTTCTTTATCTAATTTTACCATCCGTTTGTAGCCCTATGCCGCTGTTCTGCACGCTTTTTCCGGAAATTTTGTGGAACTTGTTATTGAAACTGTAGCATTGATGGACGGAAGATATAATGTCGTTCG